CATAACATGCTCTTGCATAAATTAAGCTCCTTCGGATTCTCTGATGCTTATGTTAGCTGGTTTCGCAGTTACTTAGCCAACAGACAGTCTCGGGTTCGCGTTTCTGGCACTCTCTCCCTGCCTTTTCACGTAATGTCCGGGGTGCCGCAAGGCTCTGTTCTGGGGCCTTTTCTTTTCAACGTATTTATAAATGACGTATGCGACTTCGTTAACTACTGTAAATTTCTAATTTTTGCGAAGAGATCTAAAAATTTTCCACGCCGTTAACTCTCCACATGACTGTCTCTTACTTCAATCTGACATTAATTCCGTAAGTGACTGGTGCACTGCTAACTCCATGAAACTTAATATTGCTAAAATGCGTGTTGTATCATACACCAGAAAAGCAAATTTTCTGAGCTACGAGTATCAGCTTTGTCATGCTATCATTACACGCACCAGCAGTATTAAGGACCTGGGTGTTTTCTTTGATTCAAAGTTACATTTTCACACACATGTTAATTACATATTTTCTGAATGCATAAAGCTTTTAGGCCTTATTCGCTCCATTACCTACAGGTTTTCCTCCATGGAGAGTCTGTATGTACTATATTTTACTTTAGTCAGGTCCAAGTTGGAATATGCCTCTGTAGTTTGGAACTCCATCACCTCGACTGATGCCAATAAGCTTGAGCGCATCCAGCAGAAGTTTGCGTCCGTCTGTTCTTATCGGTTTTTCCCTCATATTTCATATAATTATACTGATGCTTTTGAGAAATCAAGTCTGCAATCTTTACATAAACGGAGGCATCATCTTGATGCACTTCACCTTGTTCAGGTCTTTCGTGGTCTTAAATCCTACGCTTCTCTTATACCTGCATTTCTATGTACTCGTGCCAACTTTGTAATTGGCCTCTGTGCTGTTAAGTTTGCATGTAAATAAACACGAACTGAATTGAATTATCATTATCATCATCATCATTATTATTACAAAACTATAATTTTGCCTGTGGTTCTATATGNAGAAGGAAAGAGACCACTGGGAAGACCAAGGCGTAGGTGGGTGGACAATATTAAAATGGATCTTAGATAGGATGGCATCGAATGGATTGGATTGATCTGGCTCAGGATATGGACCAGTGGAGGGCTCTTGTGAACACGGTAATGAACCTTCGGTTTCCATAAAATGCTGGGAAATTCTTGAATCGCTGCAGATTTGGCGGCTTCTCAAGAAGAGCTCAGCTCCAGAAGTTGTTGTTGTTGTTGTTGTTGTTATTATTATTATTATTGTTGTTGTTGTTATTATTATTATTATTTTAGTGCAATTGGGTGTCCACCCGGTGGCAGTAGATCTTACACTGATACAGACAATGAAAGACTATACAGAACGTCCGGATGAAAGGTATCCTAAATAAAATCATTATTATCTCAGAAAGAATTTATTATAGGCATTAGTGGGTTACACCATTATAAAGGGGAAATATCAAAGTTTTTCTTTTCTGTGTATATAGCTTTCTCAGTAAATTTAAATGCGGGCTCCCTTGGTGGCACGACAAATATCCAGGCTTGAAGCATGTTTGGCGGTACCGAAGCCAAAGCATCCCTTATGCTGACTTTCAGGTGTTGAAGCTCATTGATCTTAACCTGGTAGACAGTGTTCTTCACATAACCCCACAAGAAAAATCTACTGGGGTTAAATCTGGCGACCTAGGAGGCCAAGCGATTGGTCCACCTCTGCCAATTCATATCCCAGCCATCTCTCTGTCCAGGTGATTCCTAACATGGTGGCAAAAATGTGGCGGCGTATGTGCGTAAGCCGGGTATGGAAAGAAAACTTTCAGAGTTTTCCTTTCCGATGACATAAACCGGATACGTGTATGACAATTAGTTTCCGAGATATAATTTTTTTATTTTGGATACCTTTCATCCGGACATCCTGTACATGAAGGGAACAATACAAAACAAAGTGCATACAATAAACAAGGTACACACAGTGCAAATCCCACATATAAATTCACACAAAGGCACGTGCTTGTGTTGGTTTCAATGCACTCGGACAGGGACACTTCCCATTACTTCACTTTTTCCATTCAGACTCCGCTTAAGGCCTCTTTACTTGTAACTGCTTCCCTCACCCTCTTCCTAAAAGTGTTTAATTTACTGGGCAAAGGCGCTAGTATTCTAGTAGTTTTACATTTTGTATGCATAGGAAACGGCCAGAATTCAATAAATAATATATTTCTTGTTTACTTTGTGCAGGATACGCTGAATGCAGAATCCCAGTTAAGTGAATCTGCCGCGAACAAGGAAACATTGAAGGCCACATATGGTGAGAGACTGGTTCTTAACTTTGGCAACAGATGGCTGTACTGCTCACTTCTCTACTTCATCATACGTCGTCTGTGACGTGAACCCTCTTCTGCCAGTAGCAACTGCCGGTAGTACGGGGAGAGCAAACTAAAGGAGAACTGCCTTTCACGTTATTCACAATGTGAAGAAGGCAGCCACTCAAGAGTGTCCCGTGTTTAAATTGTCTTTCAGGGTACATCATACCTTGACCCCCAGCACAGTCAAAGTTAAGAGTCTCAGTTGCCTTACGACTGGCGGTTTACCGGTAATCAGTTCGTCTTGGCGACAAGCCCCTTGAGATTCACGACCAGTAATTTTATTTTTCAACCGAACACTTGCGGTTATAGCCCTCATGTAACATACTCTCTTAAGAGATGATCGGTCTGTCGATTACACTTGCTGCTGGTCCTCGCCAGCGCACTCATTCTCGGGTCAGAGTCCCGCAGGAATCGTGACCACATTTTACTGTCTCTGAATCGAGACTCCTCCAAGCTGGAAGGCCAGGTCCCCGTATTTATATCCCCCAGTAACAGGGTGGGCCGGGCCGCGTCATAGCTCAAGCGGTTAGTCACTGGCTTCCCACGGCAGCGGCCCGGGTTCGATCCCGGGTCTGGTCAAGTGGGATTTGTGATGGACAAAGTGGCGCTGGGGCAAGTTTTCCCCAAGTACTTCGCTTTCCCCTGCCAATCTTCATTCCACCAATTGTTCCACAATCACCCTCACCTATCATTTGGGGCTGGTACAATAGGCCAGAAGCGGCCGCAGTACAAGCGACTTAGTCCACCCCACTAGCAATAAAAAAAAGGGTGGGCCAGTTACACCCTCAGGCTCATGACTCAAGGTACGCGGGTTCAAACCCGGCGGAGGTCGTTGAATTTTTAAGGGCGGAAAAGTTCAGGGAAAAAGTCCTCCGGGAGGGACTTTAAGCCGTGGGTCCCGTGTCGTAGATTTACGGCACGTAAAAGATCCTCATGTCTCTAGCAGACCTCTGAGCAAAATTAGGCAAAGTTTCCCGCCCAAGTAGTTTCCAATGCCTCCGGTAGATGGGGAAGTTATCGGGTACCACTACCAGCCTCGCTGGCTGAACGGGGCTGATAGCGAGCACCAGTACCGGCAGGGTATGGCGACTGGTAGAATATCAAAGGGGGGCGTACAATAGACTATAAGTCGCGGTGCATTGGTAAACCCACCCCCTCCAATAATAATAGTAATAATAATATACCCTCAGGCACTCGGCTTCTCCATTATGGTGATTTCCGATCCTATATAAAGAACTTTCGAATGATGACGAAACCTCAAAAATGGTTTAGACAAACTTACATTGAAGTGTGGGTGACGTCACGGGAAACGAGACGATCAGCTGCAGAAAGAATTGCACAATATAAAGTAAGAAAGAAATGCCACTTCTCAGAATCTGCTAGACCAGTGCTTCTGAGCCCTGCGTTTCACCTGATATACCGTTTAGACTTACGATCAAACTCTACGTACCCCTTCGTCTCAGACTGAACCGTCACGTGGCCCTTGGTCTCAGAGTGAATTCACTTACTCTTTGCCCTGGGGCCGTACCATAGTTAAGGCGGATAGTCGCCGGTTTCCCACCGCGGCGGCCCGGGTGAGGCCATGTGGGATTTGTGGTGGACAAAGTGGCAGTAGGGCTGATTTTCTCCGAGTACTTCGGTTTGCCCTGCCAATTCTCATTACAACGACTTCTCCACACTCACCATCAGCTATCATCCGGGGAGGGCACACCTGGCCAGTTAGTGGCCGACGTACCAAGTGGACTCAGTCTCACCTCACCCCAAGAACCCCGCCCCAAAAACACTACTCTTTGTTCTCAGGATAAATTTCACATGCCCTAGTATCTCTGAGAGAAACTTCACGTATTTCTTGGTCTCAGAATATGTACCTCTTCAGTGGCCACTTAACTTGCATCTCATACTCGTACTACGTGTTTTCGTACATTAGAAATAGGACAAGACAGGGTGACTTTCAGAATCTTAAACAAACTTTAACGCAGGCAAAGAAAGAGCAGCACAAAACAAAATTATCAACATATTTCTAGGCCTTTTAAACCCGCGTTTGACAATGCACGTATTCGAGTACTTTCTTCTAGTATATGTACCCTCAGCTCAGAACCGCTGTCTCACTCTCTGCTTTTTCTGCTTGACGGCAAGATCAGAAATACTTTCGTACTGGAGACCACTGGCACATGCGCAGTATTAACAACTGTAGTCTAAGCCAATGGTACAGATCCGTCGTCACAATTTGGTGTTCAGTGAAGGCAATAACTCTTAACGTTTGCTCTTCTTCGGTGGACAGAGAGGCATCGATTTAAAACCAATCGCTTCATTCACGCCCCAATATAAAACTCATGTCGAGGCCACGGAAAGGTGTCCGATGGATACTGGGGATGACGGTGCTCTCTGCTGCATTCCCCTCCACACCCCTGTGCTGTATAGTCTAGATACTGACAGTGTCCTAGCATAACCCACACTAGACGTAGACTGTGGACAGCAAGGGCTTTGGCTCTTTGTGTCTGAAGCTAGTGTATCTCACACCGTGTGTAGCAAAATTACGGAAGAAAGTTACCACTGATGTATGAATACCAGAAGCATGTCACTTCCTCATGATGATGCTCTGCCGTTCGCATAGTAGATGGGGTATAATGCTACATTCCCTCCAACCCATTTTGCCGAATATGAGCCAGCCAAAACCGCCAATCTAAAACAGGCTTGAAAGTACGTCATACCTTACGCCGTGACATAGCTAAGGCGGTTAGTCGCGGGCTTCCAACAGCGGCGACCCGGGCTCGAGCCCAGGTCAGGTCATGTGGGATTTGTGGCAGACAAAGACGCACTGGGGCAGGTTTTCTCTGAGTAATTCAGTTTCCCCTGCCAATTCTCATTCCACCTACTGCTCGACGCTCATCATCTATCGGCCGGGGCTGGTACGATAGGCCAATTAGTGGCCGACGTACAACTCAGTTTCACTTCGCCGCAAGAAACTAGAAAAATACTACGTCATACCTTGAGTAGGCAACCTTACGGAAAAAAATTCCCTGTGTGTTCAAGGAGATGCTGGTATGGCGATTTTAGTTTCCATTGCATGTTGAGGAAAGAGTTCAGTAACTTCACAGTGGTGTAACTACATGTCAATCCGATAACGGCGCACTTTCGAAGAAGTTTTAGACACTGTTTAGCTATCGAACTTCATCAGTACTTACATCCGCGACGTGAACATAAGGGCTATTACAACTTGGTGGGAAGGAGATATGGGAAAGTACACGGAAAGTGAAGCATATTTGTCCATCGGAATTATTTCCGTAGCCTCGGTATAGTCACAAATTTTTGTGGAACTAGCAACGCGCTTGAGCAAATTCGCATGCCTACGGCCATCACTACGCCGGCAAGTGGCGCACTCATCGGCGTTTCCCCAAACTCATTGCAACTGACGTTTATACAGACTTTACATTGTTTTCTGCAACTGATGAGAAGTCGGGGTAATTTTTGTCGTATTCAGACTCTCGAAATCGTTGTGATTGGTTCTAAATGAATGTTTCTTAAACATACTTTTTTCTCTTTTACCCTTTGCATAAATCCAATTATCTTTGTAGCTGCACCATTAGTATTTGTTGCTAAGTTTTAGAAGGGCGTTTCGTCTTCCATTCATATATTTGTTAAATACTTATGCCAAGAATTGCCGACGCATGGTCAAGCATTCTAGAGCCTTTGCTCTCCAAGTTTCATGCTAAAGTTTCCACTTACTGATGTATTCTGTACGTAGCCTGCCTTTCTTCCTTTCGTAGTCTCCACCTCTATACGTTATACTTTCCACTGAAATCTTTGGCAACGGAACAGCAATCCACATGTCCTGCATGCTTGGAAACTGGAACAGCAGTCCACATGTCTTGCATGCTTGGAAACTGGAACAGCAATCCACATGTCTTGCATGCTTGGAAACTGGAACAGCAATCCACATGTCTTGCATGCTTGGAAACTGGAACAGCAATCCACATGTCTTGCATGCTTGGAAACTGGAACAGCAATCCACATGTCTTGCATGCTTGGAAACTGGAACAGCAATCCACATGTCCTGCATGCTTGGAAACTGGAACAGCAATCCACATGTCTTGCATGCTTGGAAACTTGATAAACAATAAACTTCCTTATATTCAAACCCGAATCTGTACTTCTCGTCGAATATTGTAGAATGCAGATCCAGAGGTCCGGGTTCGATTCCCGGCGCTGCCAGACTTTTTCTGAGAAGTAGTTGGTCTGGAACGGGGAACACTCAGCCTCGTGGTGATAATTGAGGACCTATTTCAAGGAAATAGCGGCTCCGGTCTAGAAAACCGAAATTAACGGCCGTGAGGATTCGTTGCGCTGACCACGTGACACCCTCCATCCGCTAAAAGTTGGCACTAACTTGGCCGACAAGCGGCGGTCGCTCGGTCGGTATAGTTCGCTTGCGGACTAAAACCACAGAGTTTGTTGTTTTGTTTTTGATCACATCACACATGCCGCGACCAAAAATTCTGGTGAGTTAATTGAATTCTGCTGGCAAAGCGATGGCGTAATAATTCAGTGACAGTGGTGGTCAGTTTGATAGCAGAGCGTGGTTTCCATGGTGGAGTTTAAAACAAAGAGGGGGATATACAGACAGATGGACGGACAGACAGACGAATAAACAGACAACAAGGCGATCTCACACGCTTTTTATTTTTTCTAAATAAGGATAGTTACCTAAAAAATCATGTCTATGTATATTTTGGCAATAATTTAGGCCTCTTTGTGTTTCGCCTGATAATGATCGCACGTGGGTGAAAAAGTGATATATTTACTTCATGTTTGTGAGATGGTTGCTATAGCTCTAACACGAATATAGGGCATATCTTACAGACGACACAAGCAGGAAGAAACCCTACAACATAATCTGACCAGCCGTTTGAAGCAAGATACCGTTCTGACTTCGTACCTCGCAGGAAACACCGAGTCTCCAGTACAAAGACCAGTCGGTTAAGGGTAGAAGATCGGGCCACACGGTAGCGTAGTTGGTTGAGGCACTACGATTCAAGCCGGAAGGTGGCGGGTTCTATTCCAGTGAGGTCATTGGATTTTTCAGTTGATCTAATCTTTCCAGCTGCACTATGGCCCTGAGGTCGAGGCAGCCTTTAACAGAAATGAGTACTAAGAACCTTCCTACGGGGTAAATGGCGGCCGATGCGTAAGGCTGACAGCCTCACCGCCATCTGTGAGGCGACGTCTATAAAATGCGGGAGCCTCGACGTCTCGCAACCCTATGGGCCTTCACGGCCTGTTACAGGGATAGCTTTAATTCTTTCTTTACTTCACAGAAAACACAATCGCACATGGAGATGCTTTATCGCCACTGCTTTTCAGATTTGCTTTAGAATATGCCACTAGGAAGGTCTAGGAAAACCAGGTGAGAATGAAATTAAATGGGACACATCAGCTGTTGATCCATGCTGATGATATGAATCTACTGGGTGATAATATAGATACCATAAAGAAAAACATACAAACTTTAATTGACGCAAGTAAGGAGGTTGGTCTAGGAGTGAACACAGAGAAACTTAAGTTTATGTTGCTGTCTCGTCACCAAAATGCAGGGCAAAATCATGATATGAAGATAGGTAACAGATGTTTTGAAAATGTGGCACAGTTCATATATTTGGGAACTTCGGTAACAAATCAAAACCTGATCCAGGAGGAAATTAAGAGGAGACTGAACTCGGGTAATGCTTGCTACCATTCGGTCCAGAACCTTTTGTCTTCTCGTCTGCTGTCGAAAAACACAAAAATTAGAATATACAAAACTATAATTTTGCCTGTGGTTCTGTATGGGTATGAAACTTGGTCTATGGCATTAAGGGACAAACAGACTGAGGGTGTTGGAGAACAGGGTGCTGAGGAGAATATTTGGACCGAAGAGAGATGAAGTGACAGGAGATTGGAGAAAACTGCGCAATGAGGAGCTTCTTAACTTGTACTATTCTCCAAGTATAATTAGAATGATCAAATCAAGGACGTTGAGGTTGGCAGAGCATGTAGCACGAAAGGGAAGAAGAGGAATGCATAGAGAATATTGGTGGGAAAACCGGAAGGAACGAGACCAATGAGAAGACAAAGACGTAGGTGGGTGGACAATATTAAAATGGATCTTATAGAGATAGGATGTGATGGTATGGACTGGATTGATGTGGCTCAGGATAGGGACCAGTGGAGGGCTCTTGTGAACACGGTAATGAACCTTCGGTTTCCATAACATGCTGGGAAGTTCTTGAGTAGCTGCACAACTGGTGGCTTTCCAAGAAGGGCTCATCACCACGAGTGAGTGAAAACACAATACTTACATTGCAATAATAATTAATGAATAAATCAAGCATCCGTTTTGAACGTTCAGACAAGCGTTGCCTGACTACTACACCTTACAGGGTTTCATAACTTGCAGCCGAGAATTCAATTAACTCCTATATTAATAAACAAGTAAACGATTTTTTTAGTTTCATTACTATTTGTTTAATCCTTTGAAGCACCGCAGTTACTGTCCGTGCCTCCTGTATTCTGCCCACAGAGCTTATTTATGTTTGTCTGTTTCCGTAAGCGGCATTAACAGGTAGGTCTTTGTAAGGGCATATTCTCTTAGGCTTGAATAACTCAGTCAGCATAGCGACTAGGCTGCGGAACAAACAATAAAGGTTCGATTCCCTGCGGGAACAATAAATATTCTCTTCACCACGGCTTCCAAATTGGCTCTGGGGCACACCCACCCTCCTACCCAATACATAGGGGGGCCCCTTTCCCAGGGGTTAAAGCGGTAGGGCCGTGAAGCTGACCATTCAGCTCCATCTAGTACCCTAGTTTAAGAATGGTAGAACTGTACCTCCACTCCCCCATACATCTTCAGGGCATAATGGTTAATTAATTAGGCGCAGGGATTTTATAAATTTCGAACAAGTTATTATTCTGATGAAACTGCTGTTTCATTACAGCTCTTCCAGTGTTAATAACAAAAATCCGCCATAGTATATTAAGTAGTTTTCATTTAACAGCAAAGCATTACACTTCCCATCGCTTTACCTTCATCACAAAAAAGAACGGGAACTGCTAGAAACCTTCAGAGACAGAAACTCTCACATTTCCACAGTCAAACTCAGGTATAAAAAACATTTCTGTGCTTAACTATACACGCACTACGCCATGAAGACGTATGGGGGGAGCGGGTGTATATATCCATGTTTCTTGACCTCGGAATTGGTTGATGAGCGGTCAGATTCATGCTCCGGCCGTTTTATCCTAGGGGAAAGGGCCTCCAGTACCCTGTCTATACGCTGTGGTGAAAATTCTTGACCCTACCGAGACTTGAACTCTGACCTCCCGGTCGTCCAGCACATAGCCAGTCGCTATACCGACCGCGTTATCCAAGGACCTTAAATTAAACCACGACCGACTCCTTCCATATCCTTTCCAATTCGCTATCATCAAATCAATCTATATATATATGGTCTGTTACTGTCAGCGTAATTACCTCTGACTTCACCAGCTGCAAAGAGAAGACCATAACACAAATGACCTTCAAACACCAGCAGGTAGAGATCAAGTGAAATCCCGCTCCTTCCCCCAAATGCCAGTATGTCGCACATTCTACTGACAATAATGATGCACTAAATGATTACCGAGGAGCTGAACTCCTCTGATGTGGCGGTTTTAACAAAAGTAGGCCAAGCCAATCTAGTCAGTATGTGATCTTATAAAGGTTAAGTGAACTAAATATTAGTTAAATAAATAATAAATACTGTAGTGTTTCTAACTGCCTCCTTTAAACTTTCCGTTCTCTGAGTTGTTAATATCGTTTATCATGGGCATGCTTATCTCCCGGCTCTTACAGGAACGGTGCTGCCATCTACGAGTAGTTACATCAGCCTCTACAGTCTCACCAGAGATGGCAATCCATGCATCCTGCTACAGGTTGATGCCTCCGTCACCTTTACGTACAAGACCAAATCTGGAGACGATCGAGTGAGTTTAACATTGTACATTGTTATACGTACATACTGCCCGTGTGTTTAGACCTGGCTGTTCCCAACACATTGAGCATTGGTTCTGGTCGAGTCTACTAACTCAGAGCAAGACTGTAGGGCTGCAACCACTTTCCCGCTATGATTTGCCACACTTCACTTCTCCTAGCGCGCAGACCAGAGGCTATTTCTAAAACACTCTCTGTGAGAGGCTTGTTATTCTAACCTATATCTTAGCAGTCGAGGTTGATAGTAGTTAGAAATAAGATCAGAAGATGTAAGCAATGAACGACCCTCGATACTGAAAGGTCCACCTTCGACGCTTAACTGTGTGGCTTATCTTTAGATAGAAGCAACAGTTAGTATATACTGTTATTCTAGGAATTTATTACCTTACCAGAACATTCATGAACGCGTTGGCACAGTTTACAGTGGCCAATAGCGATATATGATCGCCATCTGGGAGGAGAAACGCAAAAGAAATGTTGTTGATCATACGTCGACATTCGTCTGTGGAAGCACTGTCGTCATGTCGATTATACACGTATATCGACATACGACAGGGGAATTTTTTGAGGTAAGAATATGGACTGAGAGTGCTTCAAAACACATTGACTCTGGGAATATCTGAACTTACGAGGAGGAAGTAACAGGCAACTAGAGATAATTGCAGAATGAGGAGCTTCATTATTTTCATTTCTCAACCAGATATTGTTAGAAATGTCAAACCAAAGAGGACGAGATGGGAGAGAAGACAAAGAGATAAAAAAATTTGGTATGAGAACCTAAAGGCAAGAGACCACTAGGTTTACCTGGGCGTAGATGTCAGAACAACCCAGTAATGCACCGTAAAGAAACAGGATGGGACGGAGTGTACTGGATTCATCTGGATCAGGATAGGAGCCAATGGCAGATTATTTAGCAATATAAAAAAAATCGCGTTCTATCAACTGGCGGGAAGTTCTTGGGCGCCTGAACAACTATTAGGCTGTTATGAGAACATCATGTAATTAGTTGAACTGAACATAATTAAAGCAACTGTGTCTTGGCTCAGAGAGCACTTGCTCACTGAGTTTGCCGTGTCTGTAATGGTTCCGACTTCCTGCATTCCTCACCGCTTTTAAGATTCAAGCGTCCTGTACTACGTGGTACAGTCTGGTCACTATATCGATGGAGCCATCGCGGTGCAGGCTGGGCAAAGTCCAATAAAATATCCATAAATGTGTGATGCTATCATCAAATAATTTTAACCTTAGTCTGGAATTTAGGTTCTCACGGGGGTGACCATGAAAAGTACTGTCATATGGTTTGTGACGCGTGGTCGGGTAGAATTTCGCCGACATTTCGGAGGAACGTACTGACTCCAACGTCATGGTTGAAGAACAATCCAAGCCATCAGAAACCTCCCTCCTGAACGTCAGTGAATTTCTGCAGGACTATGCAGCGCCACGCCCCAAAATACAGAAGTGCTCTTCAAGTTCAAACTCACTTTATGCTCCTATACTCACTGGATTTGTGTGTATCAATATGGAAGCTATGATGGAAAATAAATTTGTCATTAACCTGAGAATGATCCGACTGTAGTCGAAACATGTCTTGCATACTTATGATTTCTTTTGGATACCGTGTAGTCTGGTGGATAAACAACATTTGAAATAACGAGCTGTCTCTTCCATATGTCGATACCTATCTATATAATTATGGATGACGTCACACCCGGGAACATCGTATGAATAAAATTCACAGCCATGATAAAACTCATTCTCATGGAGCTGGGCCCTGCTTGAGAGGCCGCCCATTGTGCAACAACTCAAGAAATTCACAGCATTTTACGGAACCAGAAGGTTCATTACCGTGTTCACAAGAGTCCTCCGCTGGTCCATATCCTGAGCCAGATCAATCCAATCCATACAATCACAGCTCTTTAAGATCAATTTTAACACTGTCTTGGTTTTCACAGTGGTCTCCTTCCTTTTTGCTTACCCACCAATATCCTACATGAATTCCTCTTCGCCCCCGTTCGTGCTATATGCCCTGCCCATCTCATACTCCCTGACTTTATCATTCTAATTATACTTGGAGAAGAGTACAAGTTATGAAGCTCGTCATTGTGCAGTTTTCTCCAATCTCCTGTCACTTCATCTCTCTTCAGTCCAAATATTCTCCTGAACACCCTGTTCTCAAACACCCTCAGTCTATGTTTCTCCCTTAATGTCAGAGACCAAGTTTCACACCCATACAGAACCACAGGCAAAATTATAATTTTGTATATTCTAATTCTTGTGTTTTTGGACAGCAGACAACAGCAGACAAGAAGACAAAAGGTTCTGGACTGAATGGTAGCAAGCAATCGCCTCTTAATTTCCACCTGAATCAGGTTTCAATCTGTTATCGTTGTTCCCAAATATCTGAACTGTGCCACATTTTCTAAACATCTGTTTCCTGTCTTTATGTCGTGATTTTGCCTTGCAGTCTGGTGATGAGATAGCAACATATACTTAGTTTTCTCAGTGTTTACTTCTAGACCAGCCTCCTTACTTGTGTCAATTAAAGTTTGTGTGTTATTCTTTATGGTATCTACATTATCACCCAGTAGATTCACATCATCGGCACAGACCAACAGTTGATGTGTCCCGTTTAGTTTCAGTCCCACCTGGTTTCCCTGGACCTTCCTAATGGTATATTCTAAAGCAAAGTTGAAAAGGAGTGGCGATAAAGCATCTCCTTGTTTTAGACCATTCTGGATAGGAAATTTATGAGACAAATGTTTACCTATATGGACTTTACTATACGTTTCGTTTAAACACATTTTAATAAACCTAACTAGTTTCATGGGTATCCCAAACTCTATCAGAATATTGTACAATATTTCCCTCCTAACTGAATCATAGGCTTTCTTGAAGTTTATGAGTACCTGATGTACTGTTTCATCGTACTCCCAATTTTCTCCAATATCTGAAGAATAAAAATTAGAATATACAAAACTATAATTTTGCCCGTGATTCTGTATGGGTGTGAAACTTGGTCTCTGACATTAAGGGAGGAACACAGACAGAATGTGTGTTTGAGAACAGGGTGTTGAGGAGAATATTTGGACAGAAGAGAGATGAAGTGACAGGAGGTTGGAGAAAACTGCATAATGAGGAGCTCCATAACTTGTACTCTTCTCCAAGTATAATTAGAATGATCAAGTCAAAATGGATGAGATGGACAGGGAGTGTAGCATGAATGGAGTAAACAGAAATGGATATAGGATATTGGTGGGAAAGGAGATCACTGTGAAGAAGTAGACGGAGGTGGGTGGACAATATTAAAATGGACCTTAGAGAGAGAGGATGGGATGGTTTGGATTGGATTGACGTGGCTCAGGATAGGGACCGGTGGAGGGCTCTTGTGAACACTGTAATGAACCTTAGGGTTCCATAAAATGCTGGTAAGTTCTTGAGTGGCTGAACAATTGGCAACTTCTCAAGAAGAGTTCAGCTCCGTGAGTGAGTGAGTGAGTGAGTGAGTGAGTGAATGAGTGTGCCCCCTCCTTCAAATCGCATAAATTTTGTCTGAAGCATTTCACAATGGCGATGAATGATTGAGTAATTCAATGTGAAAATTTTTAGTAGTTCAATCAGTGTGTTATGCATACCGACAGTGTTGCCAAATAACCTCTAAATCAAAAACAATGTGTGATTATGCCGTGTATCTTCAACTGCACAGGAAAAATCTGAATACTTACCCGCGCAAGTGGAAACCAGCGGCGACTGCAAAGAGGAAGATGCCGCAACTTTTAACCTGAAGTGGGAATCTTACGTCCTGAGATGGAGTTTTGCCAAGGTAAAATCATCACTTTCCTTAATGCCATCTCTACAGTCGATGGGACTCCTTGGACCGCTTTTTTTCAGTTTCTTAATCTTATACACAGGCGGGTGATCAGCCCGTAGTAATGCAATACCTAAGCGGCCTCCGTAGTCTAGGGGTAACGTTCCCACCTCGTGACTCAAGGCACGCGGGTTCAAACCCGGCGGAGGTCGTGGAATTTTTAAGGGCGGAAAAATTCAGGGAACAAGTCCTCCGGGAGGGACTTTAAGCCGTGGGTCCCGTGTCGTAGCTTTACGGCACGTAAAAGAACCTCATGTCCCAAAGGGACCACTGAGCCAAATTCAGGACATTTCCCGCCCAACAGTAGTCTCTAACGCCTCTGGTAGATGGGGGAAGCATCGAGATACCGCTGAGCCAGTAGAGGCCGTACTCGCTGGCTAAGTCGGGACTGATGGCACGCACCAGTACCGGTAGGGAATAGAGACTGGTAGAATATCATAGGGGGACGCACAATGGACCAACAGTTGGTCTAAGTGCATGGGGAAACCCACCCTCTCCAAATACAATACAATACAATACAATGCAGATACATACACACAGAACAACACAAACACAGAATAAACGCACAAAAACATCCATGCCTTGAGTGGGATTCGAACCCACAATTCCAGTGTTCGAGCGACCGAAGACAGTTCATGTCTTAGACCGAGCGGTCACTGTGATCCGCATAAGAGTCTATGGTAAGTGAAATATAAACACTTTGTGTTCCCACTCCTTGCAATCTTTGTGCAACCGCGTTGGTATATTAACGTTCACACGGCTTCGCCTCTTTATTTCATAACAGTACGCGTTTCGGCCTAACTGGCCGTCATCAGGTGTATAATGTGTTGTGTCTGCCTTCCATTTCGATGTAAACTGCTTCTAAAATATTTTAGGTTATATTAGATTACAATGCCGTTGTTACGCACGTGTCTGGTGTGTCTGTAACGTGCAATGGCTTATGTTTGTGACTTAAGGCTCCCACACACAGACGCGATACTCAGCTCGGTGCGGTACGGGACGATATCTAATTACATTGCGGTAAATGGAGGTCCGCACACTGGCGCGGTACTCCGAGGAACGCGATATTATCGCAGTCGGTATATCGCCTCGGTATTTCGGTCTACCGAGCGCACTCGGTAGACCGCTCGGTATCGCAGCGTTAAATAGTCATGGATCCGTCTTTGGAGGAAGAAGTTTTGCTTTTAGCTGTCGCTCTTGATGAAGACGAAGGTGAATCCCGGCAAGTATTCTACTGAACACTAAATCTGCGTAGTTCTTTTCCTCCACATATTCAGTATGCCATATATATGTACAAATATTTACAATTCCATAACGAGTCTCTAATTAAGTATGTATAAGTGGTTGCTACGTGTGTTCGTATTTAGGCGAAAGAGACGAATCACTTGGGTTCGTGATATAAACTTGTCAAGAGAGGAACTAAGGGAGTTTTATACATTGATACCTCAACTCCTGAAGGACGAAAAACGGTTCTACATATATTTCAGGATGAAAATTGACAGGTTTGATGAAATCCTGAGAGCCATCGGGCAAGAAGGTATCACTAAACAATACACCAATTGCCGGAGGCCTATTCTTGCCATTAAGTGGAGGATTTTTTTTTTTAGACCTATAGAACTGAAAGGAGGAAATATAAAACACACTGTATCAGCAGCGTGTTTGCTTCATAATTTTCTACGTCTCAAAACCCGTGATGAAAAGTACAGGGAAGAACTGCTACGAGTGGAGCCACTGGAAGGAGAAATGTTCCCTATCCAGCCTTTACGTCTCCCAAGGGCGGCAAACATTAGCTACGCCATTAGAGAGCGGGTTGTTGCGTACTTCAACTAGATGACTGCCCCTGGAATTGATGTTAGTGAACGGAACTTGTGCATAGCCTACGCTAAGAATGCCCACAGTTACTGTATACTTAACCCTATATAAATACATACAGATTTTTCTACTTGCTGTCTCTGTTCATTGCCAATTCCTTCCACTTTCTATCCTTAGCACGTGAATCCCTGTACATCGGACGATGAGTATCGTACAATAAAGCATTTTCTTTGACGAACTCTACTATTTGTTCCATTTGGTTACCCATGTCGTTTCACGTACGTATAGATACTGATTGAGTGTGAGTCATGGCCAGCTGGTTATCGGGTGTCAAAGATTCCCGAGTTCCCGAGTGTCGCGGCTGTGTGCGCGGTCCACTCGGTAAACAGCCGCTCTCGTCCCGAGTGCTATATCGTCCCGAATCGTATCGCGTCTGTGTGTGGGAGCCTTTAGGCGTATTTGTGCGATACATGTTTATGTGTGTTCTGCCTTTATATGTTTATGTTACTTACGTTTTTGTTGATATGTTAGTTTATCTTTTTACGTTGCGCGGTGTTTCTGAGTGTTTCTGCAGCTTTCTACTGGCAACCAGCCAGCGCTGTCACCCGTGGTGTCTCTGTGTAGTTGGCTCTGTTCTGCAGGCAGCCTAAGGTGGAGGAGTGAATGTAGATGGACTTGAGTTGTGACTTTCCAAGGGAAAAGCAGTGTGGCCAGAAGAAGAATTAGAAGGCTTAGTGTGTGACGTCACATACTCTGTAGTATACTGAGTTGGGAGTGTGTAATTTATGAGACTTTTATAGTTCCTGTGTTATAAATCCATTGCCAGGAAACGGATCTCAACACAGAAACTAGCACTTCAAATCACTATCTAGTCTTCTTGCCATTTCTTGTCCAATCACACTGGAACCTTGCAACTCAACTAAGCGGGCTCGCGTTATATAGCCGCGACACGAACAATGCAGAAAACACAGTTCTACTGCAGACCACACAGAAAACTCAAGTCCCGTAATAGCTATCTCGACAGTCCATTGGTGCGCTGCCTGTTGCCTAGCAACGAGCTACAAACATTCGTCCTACTGTTGCGTGCGCGTATCGCGAGGTGTTTATCGGGCCGTTGCCTGGCAATGTGTTGACATGTCATAGTATTTATCTTTGTAAGCAACCGCCTTTTCAATGCAATTAGCCCAGCTAATTATTGATGCCATCAATATAAAACATTTTCTTCTTAAGCCATTCACTTACTGCGTCTTGCAACCACTGATATTCATTTCTGAAGCAGATCCATTTGTGATGTTTCTTCTGCTTTCCCTGATATGACGATGGATCTACACCTTAACCTTAATATAGAAGGCTTTCCTCAGAGTCTGTGGCGCGCCAGTTTCCGTTCGTCTTCTTGGCTAATCACACAGCCACACGACTGATCCATGATTCGCTAAGAAGCGCCACAACAAAACTTTTACAAAAATACTGGTTTTGTAAACCATACTTGCGCTCATGGAAAAGCACTGATCATTTGTGTGGCTGTATGGAAACAGCTCCATTTACATCAACGCGCCGCAGGGCAATGCCTCGTCTTCAGCGCCAGTCGGAACTCATTTTGAATCTCACAAACAATTTGTACTCTTTCCTCTGGCGCATACACTTACCACCATACTGAACCGTTAATTCACTTCCGATGAGCCCAAAATCTGAGATTCAAACTGTTCACAGTGTTCATGCTTCCCACATATCACAGCACTGCCCTGAAAACGAAACATAGTGTACTCTTTTTTTATCCGTGCGCTGCGTATCCTGCTGGCAGTTCAACTGTGTTCACAGCAACGCAGATCGCCCGTCCGTCTGTCTCCATGCACACATGAAACAACTCTAAAACCACTGGGCTAACTGTAACACAGTTTTATATCGGGGGTGTTTACGAAAACATATCCAGGCATTTCAATTGTCACTTACATCGAACGACTGCAACAATCATTTAAATAAAGAAACAGTTGCGTTTCTGTGCATATCTCGAGTATAACTAGCCAAGTATTTATTGGAGCGAAAAACGTTCAGAATGTACGCTGCAGGAAAAATGAAACAAATTATGTTCGATACATTTCCCCGTAAGCCTTACAGTTTTCGAGATAACTAAACACAATGGACACTGCACACGTTCTGTTAAGAAGAGTCAGTTGGAAGGGAGCCGCCATTCTTAGCGCGTAAGCTGAAGAATTTCCACTGTTAAAGCCGTTACCAGGGAACCGCTGGTGAAGACACGGCAGACTGGGAAAGTCTTAGCGTGTGCTCTGGTGATTTGTAAAGAGTTGAGATAGCGATGGTGCTGTAATTACTTGCAGGTCCGAGTTGTGGGTTAACGTTTTCAATAGATCCAATATCCAACCCCAAACCCCGTCCAGAGTCACCCATACACGTGACAATATGCAGGATAAGCCTGTTTTACGATTATTCATGCTTTTTTATCTTCCTTCGCTGGCATGGATAATCGGAAGTATATTGTATATTTAAATGAGGGAACTTTTATGTCCTCTATCCGTCATATACTTCGGTGCTGCCAACATAACCTTTGAAATAAAATATACCTCTAAACTTGGATGTTTTCTTTACAGACTCCAGGTCGTGAGCGATGGTATGTGAATGACGTGAAACTCAGCATCAGTATTACCGACAAGCTTTTCCAGAACGTCAACAGACAAGGTAATGTGCGTCTAACATAACTTTCGGTTTGTATCGTCATCAGATACTGTCACCACCCGTGTGGAGGCGGGGTCGAATACCTCCATCGTGACCCTGCGAGTCGTAGGAGGCGACGAAAAGGCAAGCCTCAAATGTGAGACAGTAAAATACGGTCGCGAGTTCCAAGGGACTCGGACCCGAGAAAGAGTGCGCTGGAAAGAGCCAGTAGCACGTAAAAAAGACAGATCCGTCCTCTCGTCAGAGAGGACGCCCCACAAAAAAGCAAAACCGTAACGTTCAACAGTAATAAATATCTGGTCATGAGACACCAAGACTTACTGACTGACTGACTGACTGACTGACCGTCAGTCGCAATGTGACTTGGACTTGGGACAGCAACGACACGGTCGGAACCTAGTCGCCACACGATACAGTTGGAATACTGTTGAAGTGATAACAGTTTTAAGGTGTGTAAGATTGAGTGTCCAATAAAGATTCGCTATATCCCAGACCCACGTGAAGTTATTTGTCGCGTGACATACACAACACGTGACAATATTAAAAACTTCACATGTATGAAGCCTTGCACCAGAGAACTATGAAGATATAAATCATCACTGCAGACATGAAACACTCCGTATGGTACCAAAAAAAAAAAAAGAACAGTCTACACTGGACGGAGTTGTCATGGTGACATACATATAAATGTTATGTGCGTGAGATCTATTATTCTCATTAAGCAAGTTTACGTCACCACAGAAACGAACAATCGAGTACGCGTATTTGCACGCTGCATGAACGTAAGTTATGTAGCAGCGAGACAGCAGTCCTTTCTTTCAGTGTATCGTGTCTATTATGAGAGTATTAATAATATCTTCATGTGAAAATATGACGTGTAGTATACCATAAAAGGAGGCAGTTTAGGAACGAATATTTGTGAGTGTTACTCGTGGGGGAAGGCGTTAATCGCGAGAAAGCAGGGGAAATTAATAATACGAGCGCTTATACAACAAATGATGGAACTACCCGTTGAATTATCAACGGGTTTACACTAGTGATTTTACAATAAATTTTAAATTCCTCTACTTGTGGCATTCCATGGTACTTTATATTTTGTAAATGGCTCCACCTAACAGAAAACCTCATGAAGTAACGAGACTGACATTCGGCAAGCATCCGCTGCGCTCGGGCACAACTCAGAATGCCTACCTCGCGAATGCCTCAAGCTTATCCAGGAAGAGAGCTCTATCACTTCCTTACAGTTCAATTTGAATCCATTTTGCAAACCATTATATTATTCTAGATTCTAAAGGGTTCTGACGGTGTATAACACACAGACAGAAAACACGACGTTTCGGAAACTGGACCCGTGACTGAGATTACATCTTTCTAAGGGGTCCAACACTTGCCGCGCCATAGCTCAAGCGGTTAGTCGCTGGCTTCCCACCGCGGCGCCCCTGGTTCGATCCCGGGTCTGGTCAAGTGGGATTTGTGGTGGACAAAGTGGCGCTGGGGTAGGTTTTCTCCGAGTACTTCGGTTTCATCTGCCAATCTTCATTCCATCAATTGCTCCACAATCACCCTCACCTATCATCTGGGGCTGGTACAATAGGCCAGAAGTGGCCGCAGTACAAGGAACTTAGTCCCACCCCACTAGCAATAAAAAAGGGGTCCAACTGAGTAGGTGTCTTCCCCCTCACCTGAGGACGGAAACGTCCAATTTCCGAAACGTCGTGTTTTCTATTTTCTAGAATACCGGACGATGGAAAAAGTCCAAAAACCCCGTAATTCTCTGCGTTATATTATCCTGTTTGATATTCAATAAACTATGTCGCTGATAACAACCAACGAGCCATATACATTTTAGAAATGGGATAGCTGAATCCATATAGGACTACGCAATGGACTGGACATTCATGGATTCAGTTCTCAGTGTCCTCAGTCTGTTACTAGACTTTTTTGGTAACGGCTTCTAACAATGGCTATTCCTCTGCCTCCGGGTATCAAGTCCTCTCTGAATGGCGGCTCCCGTCCAGCTGCCTGCCTTCCTTACAGTTGATTCGCGGCCATTTCACTCCAACCTTCTAGTCTTCTCTTCTCCGCCTATCAAGTAGCTACTCTAACCTTGTCCGTTGCTTATAACATCTCGACACAGACCATATAAAATATACCGTTCCTGTTGCATACGTATTCACTGCCGCGAGAACGTATTTACGAAGCCGTTCCATAACAATCGGCCGTCTATTCTTATTTATTAAGAATCTGTTGCCGATCAACGAGCATTGTTCCGTTGTTTAGCGGCCGTTGCCCATAAACGAATGTTGTTTCAGAGCCGTTCTTTAGCAGCGGCTGTTTTTCTGGCTCCATAGCTCCTGCTCTGAGCAACTATGCCACAATATTATTCATTGTAATAAAGTGACAAAGCGTGTATGGTGTCCATAAAGTAAAAATGCCGTTACCTGGACGCTGCCTGAACAAACCTCTCCTCCCGTCGAAGCCCCAATTTCCAAACACTTGAACAGTCTTGGAACGAACGTAAATTAGGTCATGGGTCCCGTCGGAGTCCGAAACCAAGAAAGACTGTGCTGGCGAGCCCCAGCAGTAATTTACTGGGCTAGACTTGACCGGAAGCGATTAATTCTTCCCAGAACTTCTTGTTGCCTTAGGCCCTTTATTTACTTGGAAAGTGGAATGGTGTTTGAGAAAATGGTTGTGAACCTTAAAAATAAACTTCTGGACAATATAGTAGCCATTGTACAGTGATATTTCATACACTGCAGCCAGCCTGAAGCCACCTTATGCGTTGTCTGTTGTCCCGACTTGACAAAGAGGATTGAACGCTGGTCTCGTACTCGAGATATCCTCGTTTCGTATCTCATCCGGGATCGCAGTTATTTTATCTCAGGTTGTACGCGTATTTCCTCAGTCACTCCAGGATTTTTACGGGAGAGTACCTTAAATTAGATCGCGACCACTTCCTTCCGAATCCTTTCCAATTCGTTAAGCAGCAATCTTGCTACCCTTCCACGTTACAATGCTAACCGCGCCCTAAAATAAAACATAAACCAAATATCAGCCATTGCACAGGAGGGCGGATGGGCCCCTAGACCAGGTCTCGACGCTGTGGAGAACAGAAACTTTGCATCCTTGCGGGAAATCGAATGCAAATTCTCCAGTTCGCCAGCCTAGTCACTATACATGGGGAAGTCATAATGTTTTAATTATCACCATGAGAAAATCACAATACCAAAATATCGTTCTATATAGGAGATAGCCCATTTCTTGAGCTTGCCGAACAGTCAAATTTTTCCGCGCCGAGTGGATAGAGGGTGCCACTAGAAGGGGCAAAAGCAAAATGGCGACGTCGGTTGAGAAAGTGGAGGCTCGTGCTGTGATACAGTTCCTGCATTTGCAAGGGAAGTCTGCCAAGGAGATCCACGATCAGTTGACCGCTGTATATCAGGAAGGTGTACATTCATATGACACAGTGGTCAGGTGGAAGAGGCGCTTATATTGTGAACAGTCAACCCTCGAAGATGAACCCCGAAGTGGAAGACAATCTCTCGCTGAGGAACCGGGAATCGTGGCACAGGTGGAAGCTTTGATACTATCCGACAGGCGCATAACTATTGAAGCTATTGTTCATGAGGTCCGCATCATCCATGAAGAGTTACACATGAAGAAGGTCGCTGCGCGTTCGGTGCCACGACTGTCGACACCAGTTCAAAAACATCAATGGATGGATATCGAAAAGAAACATTTGCAGTCGTGCCAAGACGAAAAGATGGAATTTTTTGACCGCACGATCACGATGAATGAATGTTGGGTGTATCATTATGACCCTGAAACAAAGGAAATGAGCAAGCAGTGGAAGCATGCAGACTCTCCTCCACCAAAGAAGGCCAAATCCCAGCTGTTGTCAGGAAAGGTGATGTTGAGCGTGTTCTGGGATTGGCAGTTTCATCATGACCGACTATGTGCAAAAGGGCGTGAGTACTACCGGAACATTCTGAGAAAATTACGAAGGAAATCAAGAAAAAGTGACACGGAATGCTGGGAAAAGGTGTGCGACTTCTTCACAACAACGCATCAGCTCATGCTGCTCATGCTACGACACTTGCCGCCAGTTTTGGATAAGAAATATTTGCAGAACCCTCTTCTCGAGAACGACAAGGAGGCACATATTCGACCCCCGTCAAAAGAAATAATAAGAGGAATGACACGAACCCACTTGGTTTACGAATTCCAGTAGAATCTTATCAAACTAACTATAAATATTTTAATGTATTGGAACAGCCGCTGTAGTTGTAAAGACTTTAGATTTTACAGCCAATTGTATATTGTTTATATTGTGTGTATATATATATATATATATTGTGAAGTGGATGGTGTAACGGGAAGTAGGGGTCACGTGAACTCTCTGTGGTTTCGCGACTGACGTCACATACCTCCACTCCTTCCACCAGTACGCAACGCTCGGTGGGCGCCCACCTCCCCCGCGGTGACGTGGCAGAGGAGCGGCTGTGTTGTTATCAAGGATACCGCAGTTGTTACACAGCAGTAAACAACTCTCGACAGTGTTGCTAGGCAACACCTGTAAACACGGCGTCAGGCAACAGCGGTACCTATCACGTAACTGTTTTCTGTGTTGTCCCTGCCAAGGCTAAATAAAGAGCAGCGAACACTATTCAGTAGTAGTGAGCGATTAGTGAGTGGGGATCGAGTGAGTTACTAAGAGAGTGAGTAACCAGTCAATTGCAGTCTAGCATTCGCCGGAGGAAGTAACTGTGATATTGCCGATGGCAGTAATTGTGTAATTGTGAACTGTATACGTGTACGAGCGAATGGGGAATAAATTCGCTATATTCGATACGGCGTAAAGTTATTTGTTAGTCGCAAAAGAGAAGAAGGAAAATAAATATGTATGGAGGGAACGCCCGACCTTTCAACCCGAGTGAGCACTTGCACACAGACACGGTAATGATGTGTTGTGGTGCAGTCGCTGTGTCGCTCTCCCGATGGTTGCATTGTGTGCGCGGCAGGTCGGCTTGCCAAGATTCCGCTCACATTCCAATTGTCTACAGTCTAAACACGTACAAATTAAAGCCATTATCTTGATTATAGTTTTGTATGGATGCGCATTAAGGGAAGGGTGTTTGAGAATATACTGCCGAGGAAGAAATATTTAGACCCATGAGAGATTAAACATTCGGAGGCTCAAACTGTACCCTTCGCCAGACACAATTAGAATGTTCAAGTAAAACAGAACTAGACAGGCGGGACATGTAGCACGCCTGGGAGAGAAGAGGAATGCATACAGGCGTTTAAGTGAGAGAGCTAGAAGCAAAGAGACCAGTAGGAAGACCTGGACATAGATTGGAGGTAAAAAGATAAAGTTATCCCTGTAAAACGCCATGAGGGCCCATAGCGTTGTGAGACGTCGAGGATCCAACATTTTTTAGGCAACTGGCTCACAGATGGCAGTGAGGTTGTCAGCCTTATGCGCCGGCCGCCCTTTACCCTGCAGGATGATTCCTGGTACTCATTTCTGTTAGAGGCTGAGTTGACCCCAGGGCCATAGTGCGGCTGGAAGGATTAGGTCAATTAAAAAAAATGACCTCATCGGAAATTGAAGCAGGGAGTTTCCGGCTCGTAGCATAGTGCCTCAACCAAATACGCCACCGCGTACCTCCATAGGTGGGATGATAATATTAAAAGAGATATTAGAACATGAAGCTCTGGGAAAAACTGCTGGTCTTTCATTTCATTATATATTGAATATTTTATACGACACGGACCGCATAGAAAAGTCGCGGGAACTTTTTTACCGAGCCGTTGCCTAGCAACGTTAAAGACGCACAGAGAGAAATATGATCTCGTAAGCCCCCTTTTATTTATTTTAAATAAGGAAACTAGGCTAATATAATACAGGGAGGTAGGGATTGGAATTCTCTGGCTGAGAACAGAGACCAGTGGCACGGTAATGTCCCTTCGGGTTCAGTCCTCGACTGGTGGGCTCCATACAGTCAGTCACTTTTCGTTCTGTGCTGCAGGTCCTCGGTTGCTGAAGACGCACAAGAGCCCCACAATGCTTTTCCCGACGCCGGTAGGGAAGTCTTACTCGTGCCAGTCAGAAACCTCGGTGGAGCTCCAGGATGGAGATGTGAGTGCCACGGTGTTCCTCCGAGGGTTCAAACTCCAGCCCTTTATCAGCAAGAAGGATTTCGGTCCCGGTAAGTGCATACGAAGGAGTACTGCACTCAGAACTACGTCCATCGGCTGTCATTCTGGAAACTTCATCTGTTTCTAACCTCAAGCGAAAAGAGAGAGGGGGAGTCAACTACTCGACTGGGCCGTTAGTTACTGCACCACCTTGTTACCTGAGGATGGAAACAGATCCAGTTTCCGAAACGCTGTACTCTTCCGAATATTAGACGACAGAAGTCAATAATCCCAACTCCACTTCCTACATTCACAGTTGAGACCAACATTAGAACTCGTAACGTCTGTCAAATGACTTCTATCCTTCAAGGAAGAGCAGTCGAGGAATGTAGTGGGTAGAACTGGTCGACCTACACTATTGTACTGTTCATTTAGGAAGACAGTGAGCTTTAACGAAGGGCAACGGATACGAGCCATCCGAAAATCATAAACATGTTTTCACCCTGCACAGTACATGAGAGTTGGTCTTGACTATTTCTTTGCCTTCTCTTCGTTGTAGGACATTACTAACCTATTTCTCCTGTTAGCAAGTGTACTTTATCGGTTTCATTATTCATTTACTTGTTTATTATTTATAATTTACTTAAGTATTTCCAGTTAAATATTCTCTGGCTGGCTTGTCCACCTGTAGCCTAGTGCACAAGTAAGGTTCACACTGATTCGCTGAGGTATCAGCCTCTGACAAAAATGAGCACCAGGAATCTTCCTGCGGGTAAAGGTCGGCAGGCGCGTAGGACTGACCTCACCTCCATCTGTGAGCAGATTGTCTAGAAAATGTGGGAGACTCGACGTCTCAAAACCTTATGGGCCTTCACGGCCTGTTACAGCGATACCTTTACTTATTTTTTAAGCGACATGAAGACGCGCTTAAGAGACACATTTCCGTGGGGTTCTTTTTTCCACGGCACAGAAATCAATGTGCTTCTTCTTCGACACAGATACAGTCTCAGGCTCAGTCTCTCTCTCTCTCTCGGATGGTTTGTACATTGCCAATTCAGCTTCATGATGTGATGCTAGTGTAACAGGACCAACAGTCGTGCGCCCTCTGCTACTAGCTGAGTGGCAAACTGACAACAGTGTGTCGCTGCCCTTGTTTATTGGATGTGCACCTCACTCACAACCCACGAACAGAAGAAAAGTGCCCCCCCCCCAGATTCGAAAACGTGGCACAGAAATCTCCAAAATGCGCCTTAAATACGTCACGAACTCACAACAAACAACCTCCACGTAACATACACACACTTCAGTATTCAACCTGCAAAAGAATAAGCCTGTGTGGATTAATTATCTACTTGAATCTTAATCGTAATTTTAACTTTAAAACATTTTTGCTTTCATTTTGATTAGTGCTGTTCAACGCGGTAATAACCCATCTTCTGCGTTAGTTTATTATGTTAAGTTCGATATAGGTGTCATTCAAAAGTGAGAGACACGTGGGCGTCGGTAGGGGGGTAAAGCCAGACGTTTCCCCGCTCCCCGCATTCTTGGAGGAAATCAAAAAATTGGAAACAGTAGGCCATACGCCAAATACAGTGTGCGCCAAAACATTCAGTACCGAAATGAAAAGACGTCCTGTTGATACCACTGTCTATTCATGTGAAGGCACCTTGCACGACAGAACCTTCTCAAATCCCGGAGAAATGGTCCGATCACCATGTCCCTGTAGCCTTCTTGCGTGACGGTAAGAGCATTGCCTTCCCCATCCTCAATGAAATAGGGGCCTAATGTACCGTGTGCTGAGACGGCACACCATATCATCACACGTGTACTGTGTAGCGGTTTCTGGACGATAACATCTGGCCGCTCAAAACCAAGGAAGCGAGTTGTCTAGCGACCACTTCCGTATGAGCGCAAATAATACTCAACTATGAATAGTTTTTCCTCCGTCGAGAGACCAATTTCCAACAACTGCACAACACAACTTCCTTTTCAGTACTGGGAACACGTGCGGCTGGAGCTATGCCCCGTCGACAAACGCACATGCGCTTTTGAGACGCGCGAGTTTCAGTACTGTAGTGGCGCATACTGTATTAATACAAAATGTAAAAGTATTTTCTTAGAATCAGTCTTCTACATTCAATAGTCTTTTGTGATCAGCAAAAACTGGTTTTGCAAGTAAGTTCATAATCCAATTTTGCGGGAGTCCTGTCCCCTTGACGGCAACCAACCCCGCTCGTCTTACAAAGCACGTGGCAGCAGAAGTTATGAGCCGAACGAATGCTGCAGCCATCAGAAAAACAGAGGGTATACCATATTAGAAAGTAAAACCGTGATTAGACAGGCCTTACCCAGTTAAGAGCAAGTTACATTATTGTATGAGAAGGCGTATGAGCTTACTTAGTTTCCTTGAAAATGTTATTTCAATTATACTGTCACGTGATTTTAGTGAATACAGACGGTGTCTGGATTGGTAATCAGATTTACTGAACACTTACAACTTGTAACTACAAGTAAGGACTATGCTCTCGCTGTTCTACACACTTCACAAATCACTATATGACACACTAGGTCTTCTGAGTCTGTTACAGTCTTCATTAGCCGTTACTTAGTAGCGGCTTCCAACGGTGGACATTCCCCTTTCTCTAGGTTCCCGAACTGTCCCAGGCATCAGCCGCCAGCTTCTAACAGCAACAGCTCACAACGATTGAATTCCAGAGTCTCCGCTAACTAACTGCAACAGTCACAGTCAGTTGCGTTACGACTGGTGGTTTACTGCCAATCAGTTCGTCTAGGCGTCAAGCCCCTTGAGACCCACGACCAGTGATTTTTTTTCCAACTGTACCCTTGCGGTCATCGTCCTTATGTAACATCCTCTCTGACGAGAAGATGGGTTGGTCTCTTATGAATGCTCTTGGCTTTCATCAAGTGTACGTACCGCATATATAGCGTGTTATTGAAAATTCTTTCTTGTGCACTACATACAAGTCCTCCGTTAGGCCAGCATTTACAAATAACAGACCCTGCTTATAACATCTTGGCACGGACCGCATAGAAAACACGGTTCCTCTGTTCTTGTTTAAGGGCCGTTGCCTAGTAACGGCTGTTGTCTAGTAGTTTCGCGGTCTACATACCACAATATTATGATTTAGTTGTGTTCCCCCATCTGTATACTTTTCCGTACGGCTATCTGTTCGAAAAAGCAGAGAGCACCCCTTCCAGCACAGAACTGAACCAACCAAACAATTGTCCTGTGTTCTAGTGTACGAGTGCTCCCCGGGCGGAGGCTTCGCGTTCCGGGACGAGACCGCTCCAATCGCCGTGGGCAGCACGCTGGCCATAGTAGTCCTCCTTACCGTCACCGGGTACGGCGTCTATCGCTACGTGAAGATCAAGAAAGTTCAGTACGATACCATGGAGTAGCTCCACACATAACTGAATTAGCGTTTCAAGTATTTCTATTGGTTAAGGTGAAGGATAATTATAAATGCATTATCACTGCTCCTGTACTCTGTCCGACAGTGTTTCCGGGATGAAAGAAGCAGCTCCAGGACGAGCGGCAGAATCCAGTTATCCCTTGCAATAACCGTTACATAAATACTCTCCAGGTTAGCGTCTCTATATTAATCATAATAGTAAACACTCGGGATTACAGGGTTCGTCCGGTATTCTGGGTCTGTTTCCGTCTTCAAGTGAGGGGGGTGGGAGACACCTACTCTGCTGGGCCCGTTAAAAACATCTAACCTCAATCACTGGACCTAATTAATATATAAAGTATAAATACCATATAACATAATAAATCATACTCAGAATTACTGGGTTTTAGGGCTTTCTTCACTGTTCAGTATTCTAGAAGCCAGAAAACAACGTTTCGGAAACTGGACGTGTTTCCGTTCTCAGGTGAGTGGGGAAGACACCTACTCAGTTGGGTCCCTTACAAAGAGCTAACCTCAATCACTGGACAACCCCTGTCAGATTCACTACAGCTATTTAATCACCTGAGACCAGGCTAATTCGGCGGGAGATAACAGGAAACTATGCAATAAATACACACATGGTGCTCGCGGTTACATGTCCTCACAAAATTACAATTTTGTTCTGTGCATTGGTGCTCGTGCACTTGATTTTGTTGGCTAGGTTCGTAGCATAAATTACTGTCTCCCTGTCTATCCTAATTCCACGAATGTGAAAGCATGTGGCTTGTAGAATACCGGATGGACGAAGTCCGAAAACCCAGTAATTCTGAGTATGATTTATTATGTTATATGGTTTTTATATTTTATATATTAATTAGGTCCAGTGATTGAGGCTAGCGCTTTCCCTCACCTGAGAATGGAAACACATCCGGTCTCCGAACTTTGCATTTTTGCTTATACAATCCCGGACGATGGACAATGTCCATAAACCCAGTGATCCCGACGGTTATACGCCCTCGTCAGAACCCTTTAGTCTAATAATAAATCATGTTATTCTCACAGCAGAGGGTATGGACAGTTATTTCCCAAAAGACAGGACTCTTCTTACCATATAATTCTCGCATATTTGAATAAATACACGATTTTATACACCGCATAGTAGTAAGGCAATTATTTAAAAATAATCGCTGAACATCTATTGGAACTGACTGTGCGTTTCTCGGTGACCAATGCCGCCGCTACCGTCAGTTGAAGTGACAGTACATTTAGGGTAAAATATTTGGAAAGTAGCGACTAAACCGGCTCAATAGCGACATATTCCCTTTCTTCAGTTACCGTCTTTTTCTGCTTCTTTGGTATAAGCCAGTGTTTCTCAACCGCCGGGCCGTGACCCGACACCGGGTCGTCTTATAGAAAAAAAAATTACTAGGCCGCAGCCTCATAAAGGATGAGAACCACTGGTATAACCGATAACTGATAACCGATCACAGTGGCCGCGCGGTCTAAGGCATGAAATGTCTTCGACCGCTTGAACACTGGGATCGTGGACTCGAATCCCACTCAAGGCATGGACGTTTGTCTGCGTTTATTGTGTTTGTGTTAGGTAGCGGCCTACCAACGAGCTGATTCCTCGTCAAGTGAGTCCTGCCGACTGTCTAAGATTAAGAAACTGAAGTGAAACGAAGCGTTTCACGGATGCCCTATGCTCCAAAGTGAGAGCATCAGAAACAGATTGATACATATCCCTGTATCAGGCCATGGAGGCCCTTAGGGTTGTGTACTGTTTAATTACCTTGGCAAAGGGACTAATGTTTTCACGACTAGTAATAAAATCAGTAGCATATGTGTGTGCTGTAACACCTCTTACTTTAACTTTCAAACATAATCGGACAGAGTACAGAATGAGATAAACACTTTCTTCCATAGGAAATTTTGTAATAAGTTATGTACCATTTAAAACGCAATACAAACAACAATGACGTCCTACAGTATAACAATGAGACCAGAAGTTGTTCCCGCCGTAGAATGGCCTCTCCCAACTTTCCTCGTGACACTCGTTACTATGCTGCTGTTATCGCCTGTTGCGCAGAAGGCCTTCTGGTGCGAGCGCGGGAAACAACTGCGCATTTGATTCGTTTGCTGCTGTTCGTGAAGCATTTAGCATGCGTATCCTGACAGACAGGTGTCCAATACAACAATACTGATGTCAGTCGTAAGCTTGAATACACTGTTGTAGTCAGGGTTGCGTTTTAAATGGTACACGGCTGTATTTTGTGGCATACTTCAAGTATGCGCACCAGCCCAATTACAACTGCATTAATCAGTTCAAAGAGCAGATTACTATGTGCATGGTTTTTTATTCTGATAAGAACTGCAGCTGAATTTAAACTGTTCTTACGATTCATATTCAATGAGCAATGAATGACTGCATTCAATATTATGTGAGGCCGTCTGTAATCCATTTCCAAAATGACGGTATATGTCCTATGTAGTTGATAAAGAGTTGGTAAATAACCAATAAACAAGCAATATTCACTTTACCTTGTAAAACTGGGAGAATATAGTTTTCAGACGTACACAAAGCACACCAACTTTGAAGAAAGAAATGAAACAACAGAAACACACGCATGATAAGAATGATTATCTTTCTGTCTCGACAGGTCTTTATCATATCACGTTACATAAATATTAGGCACAATAGAGCACTGTGGTCGCGGTGCAGGGGCCATAAAGGCCCACCCCTTATACATTCATACATACATACATACATACATACATACATACATACATAAATATTAAAAATCCATTACTTGAATATTCAAGGAAATAAAGTTCAAAGCAATTTTAGCAGTTACGTAGCTTTATATTTCAAACGTTGTTTATTCTTCAGCTAAATATAAATTAGTGGTGTGATGCTTTTCTAAATAACTCCAGCTAATTTCACAAAATTCGGTGAACGTCCCAATTTTGTGACATACTGTACCGTTTCGTTTGCCATGTTTTAAATTCCCTATGATATTAGGTATCGTATGTGCTCCACAGTTGGTACTCCGTGTCTGAAACATATGCTCTCTGAGGTTGCATCACCAACATCAGTTGCTCTATACTAGAGATCTCCATGAACGTGACATTCCTTTTCGTAAGATTGCCTTCTCAACGTCTGATGTAACCTCAAAGACGTTTCAAAAAGATGATATTGGTATTGACGGCCCTTCAAAAATCCTTCTACTCCACAGTTTTAACAGTTCTCGAAAGAAGACTCCTCTATAGGGACATTTATGGAGAACTGTTGAAACGAACTCCATTGCGGAGACATCTATGAACAACTGATAAAACTAACTATTAGGTTTTTTTGGACTTTTCTCCATCGTCCAGAATTTTAGGTAACAGAGGACACGGCGTTTCGGAAACTGGATGTTTCTGTCTTCAGATGAGAAAGGAAGACACATACTCAGTTGGGCCCCTTAGAAAGAGCTAATCTCAATGATTTTACCAATTCCTTTCTCACCTGAAGACGGAAACAGATCCAGTTTCCGAAGCCTCATGTCCTCTATTACCTAGAATTCCGGACAATGGAAAAGTCCAAAAACCCAGTAATTCTGTGTGTCATCCACCATCGTCAGAACCCTTTAGAATCTACTTGATAAAACTAACTCTCAGAAAGCGTAGTACCACAAATTGGGGTAGGACACGAAATTAAAGTGGAAGCATAACCTTTAACACGTTTTGACTGATGCCTTGTGTCTATAGGAAAATAATATCCCAGTTTTTACATGTTTATCTCTAAATAAAATTCAGAAACGTTATTTATGCTTGCACATGCGTGAACGACCTTCCAAAGTGAAATTAATTTGCTCTCTCACAAGGATGGTATTGGGCTGTATTTATGAATTTTCCATGGCGGACATGCAATCTTGTTATTGGAAATATAGATTATTGAAAGCAACTCTGTCTACATTTTTGCAGGCTGCGTCATGATCGTTGAGTCATGCTTAGAAAGTTACTATACTATACGCAATATCTTAATCTATTTTGAATGTTCGATGGGAAAACAAAATCACCACGCTGGAGATTTCGCTGAACAGACAGAGATTTGCTTCCCTAAGGTTACCTATTCACGATATGATACCGCGAAACACGGTATATTTCAGACAGACAAATAGTACCGTCTAGACTTGGCATGTTGAACATACTTTATATTATAACTATTGAAATTTTCTGTCTTAATTTCATTTTACTTTAGCGGTAGTTGGATTTTTAAATTGAGCTAATCCTTCTAGCCGAACTATGGCCCTGGGGTCGACTCAGCCTCTAACAGAAATAAGTACCAGGGATCTTCCTGTGGACCGGCGACCAACGCGTAAGGCTGACAACCTCACCCACATCTGTGAGCCGATTGTCTAGAAAATGTGGGAGCCTCGACGTCTCACAATCCTATGGGCCTCCCCGGCCTGTTACAGGGACAGCTTTGCCTTTTTTTATGTATCGATTATTTGTAACTGATCAAGCAGAAGGAATTTCGGAAAAGACTGGTCGTTTTGTACGTTATTTAACCCGAAACATTCAATGTTCTACGTCAAACACATTTTTATATTCTGGTTCTTATGTTCTCCAGGACAGAATTTAATGCATTACTTCGGGTTTCGAGAATATGCTATGTCCCCGACACACCATCCACTGCACGATCTATACAAGGGCTTCCAAGCTTAACAAAATAACCATGAAGACGGAAGCTGCAATGTTTGTCGAAACTGAAAACCTTCAACATTCTATGAGATGCATCATAACTGCTTTTCTTGGAGGTTTATTTAATGTCGCTTTCATTGTGGATATTATACCGCTGAACGGTACGATGTTTGATGAATGATGAACTTGAAAACATCTGGATGGAAGCGGCCGTGACCTAATTAAAATAATATCCAAACAATTATGAGGAAGGGCTTAAGAAAACCATGAAAGCAAAGTTCTACCCAAATTCGTTAAACAGTGTAAAGCCACAAAATCAGCTCTCCCGCTGATATGCAACCGCTTGAAAGAATCCTCGAAGGA